TCTTATTAAACCAAATATGCAATATAGTCCTCATGCTGGCACTTACATCACCCAAGGCTCGCTCCAAGCATGATGTTAGTTTCATTAAGCCAAGAGCAACTTCTGTAGTTTGTGCATATTGTAGAACATCAAATACTTCAAGAAATAACTGTATGTTGGAAGAGAGGAAGAATGCTGCATTCAATATTCAGAATAAAAAAAATCAAGTTGTCAAAAGCACAAAGAAAGCTAAATATTCCTCAGTGAGAGTTGCTATGCAAATGTAGAAAGAAAACCATGCCAAAGAGATAAAAACATAGATGCCTGGAAAGAAACTGCCCCGGAGCACCCCTTGTATTTTCAGTTGCAATATATCTAGTGCATTACATGTATAAAAATTATCAACAATAACTTTACACAGTAACACTTGATACTAAGCACAGATTACTAGAAAAACAAAATCCTACCCTCTTAGGTGAGAATAGGCCCAAAGCACTCTAATTACAAAGTCAGGAAAATTAGAAGCAACTATATATCAAAGAAGGACAATTAGTTACAAATTTTTAGTTACAAGTATTTTGGTTCATTGTGCTCTCTTGGGTGTTCTTACATTACACTTTCACAAACGGTTTGAGTGTCAAAATACAAATTGTCAACAGACATTTTCATACCTCTGTGCAGTTTGTCCAGCGCAACCATAATGCATACTGAAGCGCAAATTGCTCTTTGGCCAGAGATTTGAAGTGCAAATTAACAGATTCACATACAGGTCCTAATGATCGTATGCTTTTGATATAATCCACACTTTGATCTTAAATTGAAAAACAGGTGGTGATTAGAGTACCAAACTTCCCAAAAGTCCAAGATTTTAAAACTCCCAAGCAGTAAAACCTGCTACAGCTTGTGTACAGATTTCGCACAGTGAATTTTATCCAGCCTATTTCAGCATAACTAATCTCGTACAACTTACTGTCCAAAGGACCAGAGAGATAAGATACAGAAAAGTAAAAGTGCAGCATTTAACCAGATAAGATTGAGTACCTTCTCTAAATAATAATAATAAAAAGCAACTTAATGAAAGAAAACATGGAAGCAAAGAGGATTATTATGTTCTGGTTTTGTTGAAATGAGGAACCTACTAGCGTACATAAATTCCACATAATTAAGATGGAAGCTAGTGCAGGCTCAGAGAGGTGAGTCAAGTTGTACCACTGACACCCTTTAAAGAACACAAGTGGGTGTGATAACTTGCAGAGTGGTACCACTGCTCTTCTTTGGTGGGACACTTTTATAAGAAACTAAATTCTTCTGATTTACTGAAAGATATTTCTTGAGGAATAAATATGTACTATTTTTATCATCTCTAGAAATTAATAACAGAGCTTGTACGATGCAATTTGGCAAATTAAAATTAAATGAGTTAATCAGGGCATAAATAGTTTGTTTTGGTTAAAAAATAATTGTAATAGAGAACAGAAACATAATGGTACTTCTGTACAAGCTAAAGTTGGAGAAATAGAAACAGAAGCAACAGGAGGAATACTGACAGCCTCAGAGTGTTATAAATTTTAAAAAGTGATACAAAGAGCACAGAAGAAAGCAATTATGAAGTAGGACAGATGCAGAACTGAACTCCTTATGTACAGGCACATGAAGTTGGGAACCAAGATAAATGAGAAAGCAAAGGAGCAGCTACTTATGTGGCACAGATTATGTGAATCTTAGGAGCCAGCAATAAGCAAATACTAAACATGTATGAAAAATTTAAAGCTCCTTGTAGATATGAACTGTCTGTACACTAATCTGCAACAAAGCTAATGCTGTATTGTAGTAAAATGTTACAACTAAGCTAGGATTGCTATCAACTGTACTGAGATTCTGCATCTGCATGTCTTAAATGTATCATTACTACAGCAGGTAAGTACCAACCTGATTCAAGGTAACAAACATGCTCTGTAACAGCTTGCCAATATATTTCACCATTATCAGATACAATATTATTAATATTATAGGCATCTTTCTTCTCAAATCCAAGTTTGCAAATCACATAATGCACAGGTGGAGAAAGACAAGTAGTGACTGAGTCTGATGCCATCTAGAACACAAACAATATGTAGTTGCATTAAGAAAGTACGTGAGAACAAAGAAAACTATTATTAAAGCATACCCTTAAGTACAGATATACAGATACTAATACATAATCTGTAAACAAGTTTTTAAGGTTTGCAATGCAACTTCATCTGTGAATATGGTAAAAGGAACTCTGAGCAGAATCACCTTGTGGAAAACTGAAGAGGAGGATTGCTCTATTTGCATAATGCCAGGAAGGTACATTTCTGAATGGTTATATCCACTGCAATGATGCCAGAACAGATTGAAACAAAAGATGCCAGTTTATATACAACTGTTCTGTATGATCTCTGAGCTTGCAGGGAATCTGATGCTACTTCAAGTAAAACGAAAGGCTTCAGCCCTTATGACCAGCAAAATCATTGGGGGGAGAGTGAGGAAGAACATGTGAAATCTGTATGAATTGGTAGTAATGCTAGAATAACATAAGCACAGATGGTATTTGCACATTAGTCTAAACAGAAAGACTGATGCTGAAGCACACATTTAAATTAAAGAATTTGCAAAGATAGAACTGCTTATGCTAACGAGAAAAATTTAGTAAATTATTTAGTAAAAAAGGTAACACTTCCTCATTAATCAAACAGAACAAATTGTTTCAAAATTAAGTATCACAGCAAAAATAAAATTATTCCCTTAAAGTTAAATTAAAAACACTTTTTTCCTCTTTAAATACGTGGTGGAATTGACCCTCACAGCACATAATTTCTGAATTCATGGCTTCAAGGAGAGCCTACGTATTTATTTAAGTAACAACATGGAGCAAGGATGACAGTTCCTACGGTACTGGTATTAGCTGCCGTCAGGAGTATCCTATCTGCTATTAAAAACAAAACCAAACCCAAATCAAACAACTCCCCCCCCAAAAAACGTTAATAAAACATGTAATTCAGTCCTTTCACATTTCACTGTCAAAGACAGACGGCAAGACTTGAACTACCACAGCCACCCCTCTTGCCTGACACAGGCCAAAGCGCAGGCAGCTGACTCTGCCAGGGAGGGTACGTGACCGCGTCCCGGGTTTCCACTGGCGACAGCGCCACGCCGCAGAGGCAGGGCTGCCACC